TGTGAAACTGTCGGTGAAAGCAAAAAAAGGTAAAAGCAAAAAAAAAACCTGAGGTAACGCCAGCGCAAACTGTCCTATAAAGAACAGTCGTTAGTAAGGTAATTCCCATTTATGAAGCTAATGTCTAGGTAAAGCTGTGAGCAAATACGTGAAGCTGGGAGCTGTCAGCTTTACCTAGGCATCAGCTTCACAAACAGGGAAGCCCACTACTGCAGACGGATTTTTATACAATTTCCATTCTTAAGTTTTTGCTTTTGCCAAGTGTTTTATTTGTTTTTGCGCTTGCTTTCTTAGTTTTTATACGTTTTTGCATATATGCAAATTGCAATAATTGGCCAGCGCACGGGCAGCCCGTGCGAAGATGCGTTTTTTGTATAGTTCACCGCAGATTTTTGTCGCTTACGTCACTATTTTTTGCTTCTGGCTAAAAGAATTTCAGACTGGCCGCCAGGACTGTTAGGAAACATCCCTTCAAAATTCCAGTCTTCTAACTTTTCAGGTACCCGAAAGAAACTTTCACGGGCCTGTACGTGGGTACCACGCATACCCTGTGTCTAGGTTTGAGCTCTTTAATACGAACTTAGATGGGGAACATCCCCTTAAAATTCCAATCTTCTAGCTAGGTTCCCGAGTTAGCAGCTTATCAGAAAAAAAATTTCACGAGCCCGTACGTGGGTAACACACATACCCAGTGTCTGGATTAGAGCTCATTAACACCTACGCGAACGGAGAACGTTCCCCCAAAATTCCCGTTCTCTAGCTTCTCGGGTTCCCGAGTTAGCGACTTACCCGAAAAAAAAAAACTTTGGCGGTCCCTTACGTGGATACCACACATACCTGAGGGCTGGGTTTGAGCTCACTAAGACTTACGCGGACAGGGAACATCTTTTTGAAATTACAGTCTTCTAACTTTTCAAATTCTTGAGTTAGCAACTTATCCGAAAAAAACTTTGGCGAGCCCGTACATGGGTACCATGCATACCCGGAGTCTGGGTTTGAGCTCAATGAGATTTACTTGGATGGGGAACATCCCCATAAAATTCCAGCTTTCTAGCTTTTCTGGCTCCCAAGTTAGCGACTTACTCACACAAAACTTTCAAGGGCCCGCATGTGGGTGCCACGCGAGTAAGAGCGCCCATTTTGGGAATTGGGGCCCGTACTTGCATGTAGATTAAGTTCCTAAAGTTCCAGCCCTGTAGCTTTTGTGGGTCTTGAAATGAAAAACCGTGACAGACGCAAACACAGACGCACACAGACAACCCCTCATCAATATGCGTTTTCTGCACTGCGTAGTTGCAAAAAATGCATAGCCCAGGCTGGAACGCACCAGGCGGGCCAGTGCGACCATGCGTTTTCGCACTTTTCATGCTGCAGCAAGTCCCCAACAAATCACAGTAGTTAACCCTGTGACGTACTGGCCCTCGAAGTTCGGGGAGTTAACTGTGCAACTATGTGGTATGTCAGTTGTAGATGTCGACTTCAGTGACCTGACAAATGGAAAGTTGCTGGTCCGCAAAAAAGGCTGCACTAGAAGAGTTAAATTTGAAATCTTTTAATCGCAAAGGAGTAGGGGACATTCCCTCCCGAGTTAGCAGTTTTCCCATCAAAATTTGCACGTGTACGTACTTGAGTACCAGACGGTTTTAAGAGGCTGAATTCGAAATATTTTGGTCATACATGAGTAGAGAACATTAACCAAAAGTTTCAGCTTTCTAGCTTTTTTCGTTCCCGGGTTAGTGATTTTCGCGCCAAAACTTTCACGTG